CTATCATTTAGAGTTGAAGGACAGATAAAGAGCTTCCCAGACAAAAATAAGCTAAAGGAATTTATCAACACCAAGCCAGTATTACAGGAAACATTGGAGGGACTTCTTTAAGAAGAAAAAACATGTATCAAAAACAGGAATAAAGAATGATAATAACTACATTCTTATCGACAAGTACCTCAAATGGAAAAGAATTAAGTGCTCCAACCAAAAGACAGAATGGCTGAACAGATAAGAAAACAAGACCCCTACATATGCTGCCTACAAGAGACTCACTTCAGATTAAAAGACACACACAGACTAAAAGGAAGGGGATGGAAAAAGATATTGCCTTGATGGACGTAGAGGGTATTGCGCTGAATGAAATGGGTCAGATAAAGTCAAATATCGCATGATTTCACGTAAATGTGGAATCTAAAGAACAAAATAAACAACAACAACAAAAGCGGAAATAAACTCACAGATACAGAGAATATTTTGAGGGATAGTAGATGGGACAGGGGTTGGGGAGACAAAAAAAGGCAAAGGAATTAAGAAGTACAAATGGACAGTTGCAGAATAGACATGGAGATGTGGAATGTAGCATGGGGAAGATGGTTAATAATGTAATAAATATGTAAGGGGGAAGAGAGGCACTAGATTTAGTGGGTAATCACTTCGTGAGTTATGTGCATCTCTGATTACTATGCTGTACAACTGAAACTGGCATGTTATTGTATACCAACTATAACTGGAAAACTCGCTGAATTGTACAATGTAAATATAAGCAACTAATTGTCTATTATATTTCAATAAAGACGGGGGAAAAAACTAAGTATGAACATGCAGAAGCAACAGATAATCTATCACAACAACTGAATTTGAACATGTTCACAAATAAATCTTAAGATTTCATTTTCCTACTCTTCACTTTTCAAGATAACTAGAGGCTATCAAGCAGCATGTGAGACATGTTACACACCCAATCTCAAGTTTTAAAATATTATGTTCTCCAAGAGAACTATCTTAAACTTGCTTCTTTATGTTTTTACCATTAAAACACCTCCCTTCTTTACTCACCTAAAACTTACCTAGCTATCCTTCAATGCCCATCCCATCATGTTTCTTGTTTAAAACTCTTAACTAACCAGCCTAGTTTTTCTCTACCTTTCTTTTATGATTGCCTCCTTATACCCCCTCCCCACTCTCAACATTTTTAGATTGCTTCCCCTAAGCCCACGAAATTTTAATAACAGATGTACATGTATCTGCTGTGGCCCTTGGGAAGGCTACAAAGCACCGTGTTTGTTATTTAAGAGTTTTTCACTTCCCACAAACGAAAAGGAATTTTCACCAGAGAATGTGTGCTCTACCTAACCCAAAGCAACTGCCTCCTCTTCTGAACTTCTTTAGCACTTAAAGTCTGTACCACTCATTGGACAACCAATATAATCTCTAATTACAGCTCTTGTTTTATTGACTTATACTGTTTATTACTTAAAAGAATCTTATATTTTTAGGGTATAATTTTCTAAATTAGATTTTAAATGTCTGTATTTGTCTTCTTTCCCCTGGCCCTCAGATAAGCTCTGTGCAATATTTTATATATTTACACAGTGGCTAAATTAAATCATGCTTTGAAAGATATTCAACAAGAGGTTAAAAAGGATTGTGCCTAAACGAAAAATGATAAAATTCCATTAAATGAAAAACCAACAACAGCTTGAAATGATTAGCAGACTGATTTTAAAGTATAAAATATAAATTTATATATAAAATAGCTCAAATATTTATGCATGTTCAACATGTATCTGATTCTTCAAAAAGATAAAAAATAAGGATTCGATCTTGATTCTCATACAAATAATTATGTCAACATTTTCCCACAGAACTACAAATAAGCACATAAAACAGAATCACAGTTAAATGTTTCCTGTATTATATCATAAGTAAAACTTGGTTAAGTTACACACAGTCTGAAATATCAATGGAATTACTTACAATCAGTTATTTTGAATAACAAGCTAAATGTGTTTGGATCCATAGAGGATTGTTGAAAGGTAAAGGTAAGCCAGACTCACCGGCAAGCGAAAGGGCATTTCACATACTTAACCTTAAAATACAAACTTAGCCAAGGAAATATAATAGGGTGCCTCTCTCAGTAGGCACTCACGACTACAAAAGTCTATTCGAAAGAGAGATGAATGGTTCAACTT